CTCGTGATGCTGCTTGGCCTGCTGTGTTCATCCAGCCCTGCACCTTGTTGTCACCGTATGTATGATGATCTATTCTCAAATGTTAAGTGTATCAAGTTGGTTATTCATAATATGTGGAGTAGGGTGGGTTTTTGTTATTTTTCAGAAATACATAGTACAAATAAATGGTTGGCAAAGAAGTGAAGAAAAAAAATCACAACAAGAGAAACAGGTTGTCAGGTCAATGTTGATCCTCCATACAAACTGCAATGTATCCACTTGCTCTATTTCCAAATCCCTACCTCTCCTTTCCTCAAATCATTATTTAATTTATTTCTAACTATTGACTTGGTCTTTCCTTCAGTCACTAAGTGGGTGCGTGTGGGGGTTAGGGGGTTGGTGCATAATCACTATATCAGAGACACTGGTCAAAAGCATGGGTGAAAACTACAATTAGGAGCTCAGTAAACGTAGATCTGTACGAAAAGGTACAGACCCGATGGCTTCTTCTGTACTGTATGATTCTACGATCCTGAGGAGCCCAACAGGAGTCATGACCATTTCTCATTAACATTCCCAGTTTCGTCTTTTTTAAATATTTTCATTTTACAGCCATTCCCAATTTTCAATATTTGAAGCTGCAGGCTAGTTGGATGAAATGTTATATAGATCCAGTGCAGGTACATACTGATTTTTCAGCTTCTGATGGTTGTAAATATGGAATTTCAGAACAACTTTAAGAGATCACATTATAATTTCCTTCCTTTTAATCCCCATTAAGGATTGTGTAGATACGCAAATAACCTAATTTTAATAACTTTTTATGAAAAAAAACTGAAGCTTTGAAAGAAATAAGATTAATTCTTTATTAGAATTACACCTGATATTGATGATAAGTCAACTTATCTTTGATCTTGTACAATGTAACACCTATATTGTTTTCAAGTGCCAGTTATGATGAATGAATAAATGAAATTTTTTCATTGAATTATACGGTATTTTTATCAGGGTCTTGGATTCGAATTGTACAATTCCCCACATTTCAGTTTAACCCATAAAACAGTAGAGTGCATTGGCTAATAAATATTAAAATTGCTAAGTGGTTGCAATATTCTACTGCAAAATGCATTTGAATGCAATAGGTCTGACAATATGCATTTACATAGGGTCTGAATTGGCTGCATGCCAGCTGTATCTGTTGATGGGGCTGTCATAGATTCTGGAGTAGTATAAGGCCCATCATGCTATTGCTGGAGCAAGCTCTTACCTTGGTCTTAATATCCCTGCTCTTGAGTCAGAAGATGCAATGTTTGAACCCTACTCCAGACAGTGCTTGTGACTGGAGACCAGACATGGTTGAGAGTTGCCCTCTCCTAATTGTATGGTTTATGAATGTGAAGGTGCCAGTGTTCGACAGGGGTGAACAAAGTCAGAAGTCACACGACACCAGGTTCTAGTCCAACAGGTTTATTTGAAAACACAAGTTTTTGAAGCACTTCAAAAGGTGAGGTCATCGGCATATAATTGTCTGTCGTGTTCCTGGTTGTTCAGTTGTCGGTACACTTCTTTGCAGTAGTCTGTTCTATTTTGAATGACGATTGCTCCTCTGTCTGCTGCTTTGATAACGATGTTGCAGTTGGTCCTGAGAGTGTGGATGGCATTGCGTTGTGCTTGGGTGACGTTCTGCGCTATCTTGTGAGTGCGGCTGATGAATCTGGCATTGATGTATCTCCTGACGGCTTGAGGACACACATCGAGCACCTGCCTTCCGGAGGGGTCCAATTTGACTCTTTCCTCGGTTGCTGCACTGCAAATTTCTCTTTTGACTGTTTTGTTTCATTGATTGTCTCATTGGGCACGCTGCTGACATCTTGGGGTTTGTGGAAGAACTCCTGGAATCTCATTCACCCAATGGATTCCTCTGTGTCTGCCGCAAAACCAGTGGGGCCCATTTTGGTGGTGGGACAAAAATTGAGGCCTCAGCTGAGAACTTGGATTTTGTCTGGTTGAAGGGTATGATCAGACAAGTTGACACTGGACTTCCCTGTGGTGGTACCAGTTTCAACCAAGGTACCACTTCACGTGACGAAGGAGCAGTGCTCCGAGAGCTTGTGATTTCAAATAAACCTGTTGGACTGTAACCTGGTGTTGGAGGATTTCTGACTTTATATGGTTTGCGAGAGATCACACAGTTCTCCTGCCGTATTGAACTAGTTAGTTTCTTGGCTGATATGAAGATAGTTAAGATACTGGAGAGAGTATTCATTGGGTGACCTGCCTTACTTTGAATCAGCATCTAAATCATTTCATTACTGAACACTGAAAGGTATAAAAATTACAAAATCCAAATATCCAGTATTTTAAAATCATGAGCCAGCCTGCAATTCCTACATGAACCACTGGGTGACAGTGAAGGACTAAGTGCACACTACAACTTGGAGGAAGGGGAGCGTCTTAAACATGAGGTATTTATGCAATGGGTAGATTGCAATCCTAATGTTCCTGGAAAGGGCCAAAGCATTTGTCACATTTAACTGTCTTCTCCACCCAGCAGGCCAGAGAACCTCAATATCTGAACGTAGCCAATGTTTCCATCTGCCCTTTCTCCAGCAGAATTCTCTGAGCCCCTCTTACAAGAAGACAGGACAATGTTCACAAACCTGCCCCAGTAATTCTCACCGCCTCAGTCATTAATACTGACTTCTACCCTGTTTCCCACATTCCAGGAGGTAACTGCCATTTAGCGGCATCACAGTAACCCTTGGTCATTGCAAATAATTACTCGGTATATCCCCTGTCCCCTGCTCTCACCACCTAACCTATCAGGATACCTACAGACAGTATTTTGATGTTCTTGGACCTTCTTCATTCAGAAACCTCTTTCTTGCCCGTGCCCTGCATTTGGTATTTTTCTTGGAGCTCATTGTAGATCATGTGACTTATTAAAATGTGAAGGAGCACCATGAATTAGTCATCTACACATGTGTGTTGGGTAAAATGTATGAATTATTTACTAGTCAGGAGAATTCATTAATTATTTGCAGACCAAGATGATACAATTCATTATTTATACCTCCCAGTAATCCATAGTTACTACTATAAAGTTGGAATGAAGTACAATTATAGAATTAAGGAGAAAGAACTTATTCAGTCATCAGTAGAGATGTACAGTGCTACATATTGAAATTCATATTTTTCTTGCAAAATGTACATCTCGGAGCCCTCTTAATATTTAGTAGTCAGCAGTGGAATTAAATATCTACGATGACTGCAATATCCACAAGAAAAGGCAAGAGAAAAATATGAAAGTAATGTTATTAATAATGGTATGGTAATAAAATAACACGGCTGTGTTTACAATCTGGCTTTGGTTTTATGGTGAAAAAAACCATATGGGAAAAATAAGTCAGCAAATCAGAAATAGGTATTAAAAACTTGCGGTGAAAAGATATAAATATCTGTGCACCAGATAAGGTAACGTGACAAAGGTAGTGTCATGAAATGCATTACTTGCTTTGAAGAACATTTAAGCACCAATTTTATTTATTCATTTGTGGGATGAGAGCGCTGGCCAGCGTTTATTGTTCGTCCCTAGTTGCCCTTGAGAAGATGGTGGTGTGCTGCCCTCTTGAACTTGTATGATTTTATTGACGGCGTTGCTTAAGAAGAAAGTATTTGTAAACATCATTCCATCCGTCAAGCTGCGCTATTCAATTAGGTCACAGCTGGCCTGAATCTCAACTCCATTTATTTGCTTTACTTCCGTGTCCCTTGATACTGTAACCTGATAAAATTCTATAGAGTGCTACCTTGAAAGCTCCAACCCACACACGGATATTTGGAGAGGGAATTGGATTTCTACCACCTCTTTTGTGGAACAAGTGCTTCCTAATTTGCCTTCTGTATAATCCAGCTGTAATTTTAGGGGGAAAATAAAACAAAAGAACTGCGGATGCTGTAAATCAGGAACAAAAACAAAGTTGCTGGAAAAGCTCAGCAGGTCTGGCAGCATCTGTGAAGGAAAAAACAGAGTTAACATTTCGGGTCCGGTGACACTTCCTCAGAACTGTAATTTTAGGATGTTGTGCCCTTGCTCTCGACTCCCCACCAGAGGGTAGAGTTTCCACCCTGATCAACTCTTCTTAACATTTTGATAAGACGGCACCCTCGATCATCCGTACCCAAGGCTAGTTTACACAGTGTTTTGATTTTTTTGAGTCGTGCTTGTGATAGCAGCTACAGAGGCATTCAAGCCAGTCACCAACCTGTGAGGCTCTCGGCTTCATTTTCCACACGTCGCCTCTGCATCTCCACGACCCGTCTTTGAATGCCACGGTAGCTGATGTCGCTGAAGTCTTGCATGTTTTTCTTCACACGCTCTGTAATGGGATCAGTGACTACAGGCGTGAAGCTTCCCTTGGTTTTCTCAAAGTCTTCATGGTATTTCACCTTTAAAATTGGGAAATACGTAGCGAAAGAAGTAATTTCTACCTTCTTAAAATATGTCAGCCAGTAGAACAAGTAACAAAAGCAGCATCTCCTAAAAGAGACACTGGCAAGAGACGCTGCAAGTTAAAGGGTCAGTCTCTAATGCGTTCTCATGTTCCGAAGTGTTAGACTTCACAAAATGCTGACCTAGTGGTAGAATACGACCACTTAAGATGAGGTGGCAATTAAAAGGAAATTAAAATGACAATTGCGATACCAAATGTTATTGCAATTGGGTTCAATGCAACGGATAAAGACTGTTGCAAGTTCAGACACCGCTCCAGATGGTTCCTGATCTGAACCGTAACAACTGTGGAGTGTGGGAAATCATGAGCAATACTCATACTGGGCGATCAGCAGTAACTTCCTAACGGTCAACTTCGGCAACGTGGCAATTAGTGTTGAAGTCAGCTGTGCACTCTTGTTTTTAAATTGAAGAAATGAGGCCACATGGAAAAAGGGAGAATTTCAAAACACATCCATGACAAAAAGTAAGGGAAACAAAGTTGTAAATGAATACATGTATATTCTTTGCTATAGTTCCGTTATCAACTCAATGTTTTTCACACTTCCTATTATTCTACTGTTCTATCTATCTGATTCCTTAATTTATGTAATTCCAAAGATTTAGTTTTAGGATGTAACATGTTAACTGTAGATGACTGGAAACACTAGTTTGAGGAACTGGTAAATAGCTGAGTTAATTATAGTTCAAAGGGTTAAGAGCCTCTGTAATAAGAGTGTTTCTTGGAGGAACCAAGGAGTCTGGACAGAGGGCAGTTATGTCCATTAAAGATATAGTCATGTGCCTCACAAAATCAAAGCAGTTGTTTTGAAAGGAAAATATATGTAATTCACTTTTCTGTTTTGAATATCCCACATATGGCACATTGCCATGAATATTAACTCTGGGGAGACAATGTTTCATGGTGTAATTTGTCAGTGGAAGAGTTTGTTCACAGAAGCAGAAAGTTAGCAGGAGTGGAGAGCATCAACTCACTTGAACTGTGTGAACAAAAGAGATAAATGTTAGCAAGGCCTGTGGCATAAACAGAGAAAAAACATCAATTATTTCTAATGTGTTAGTAGATGGTGTTCAATTTGAAGACAAAGTTTGAGGGGAAAAGAGGCTGGAAAATTTTCCTAGATTAATGCAAGAGGAAATTATCTTGAGGAACCCTCAAAGTGAAAATAATCTTGGAGCATGTGGTGAAACTTAAGCATGAGCTGAGAAGTCCATAGTTGTGAATTTGAAGAAAAGTTGGCAGATCATTTAGTTAAATGCCAATAAAAGGATCCCATGAAATTTTGTACCTCAGAGAAAAACTAGAACAGAGAAGAAACTGGAATGAATTCCAGCAAGTTATGGCATGCTTGGTGAATTCCAGAAGGATACATGGATCTATCCTTGAGCCTGAACAAAAGTATCTTGTTAGTAATACTTGGAGGAACACAGCAGGCCAGGCAGCAGAGGTCAATTTCCTACTCCTCTGATGCTGCCTGGCCTGTTGTGTTCCTCCTGCTCCACACTGTATTGACTCTGACTCCAGCATCTACAGTTCTTGCTATCTCCTTGTCAGTAGTACTTGTTTTGTTTAATATTATGTAGTAATGTTTGTCTTTGTTTTAAAAACGTAATTTCTTTCCATTAATCACTAGGTATTTCACTTCCTCTTCAAACTTGAATGGTCACTATAGAGATTGTAACACTGCTGTTTTGTGTGGAATGGTCCAGTGCATCTGATAAGCAAATAAATTCTAATGAGAGAGTTATTGGATTATTAGCAAACTATTCATTTTGATCCATACTTGCACAACTTTTTGCAGGCTCTTAACTGCTATGGTAATATAAAGTATTTCACATTCATTTTGGTTTAACTTGGAGTGTGATAGTACTGTCAATGATACACATTATACATACAGAGAATGTGCTTATTTTGATTGGAAATTATGTCAAACGTGTAATCTGTTCTAAGAAATATTGTGGTTAACATCTTAAATTCTTAACAAAGAACAGTAGCAGATATAAGGCAACCTCATGTTGCTTTACTACTTTATTGATGTGAACAAGGTTTATATCTGGAATGTTGTTCACTGACAGGACCAAAACAACAACAGTAAAGACCACAAAGATGCTTGGTCTGTGCTATAATAGTTAACCCTAGCAGAAGTAGAGCAGGACACTAACCATTATGATCACAAGCCAGTGAATCCTACTGGAAAGTGTAGGAGCAATGTATAAAGAAATGATATGTTTAGCCTTGAGATGTTGGACTGTAACCACATTCCTTTGTCAAATAGCTGGTCACCCAATATTAGGCTTGTATTTTGTAGAATGGCAACTTCAGCAAGATATTGAAGCAATGGACCTCATGAATGACCACTTTCAGAAGGCAAAATAGGGGAGAAAGTTGAAGAATAGTTTTCAGACAAATTTAGTTTCTACTTTATCTTTGATTTATGGAACACACTAAATATGCTTATGTCATTTTTATTGAGAGTATGCCTCATCCAAGGGCTGCATTTAATACAAACGCTTAATTGGAAGGATAACATAAGAATGTTTAGAACATCTTAAGAACTAAAAAGAAACATATGATGGGGGCAGACACTGACAATAACATACCGTTGATATGTTGCGCTGAGAATCCCGGACACGTCTCATCTCTGGTGTGTCCAATACATAAGCTGCCCGACCTTGTACTTGCTTCCGGAAGCTGTCAGAGTATAGTATCTGTAAGAGGAAGGGGAAACTGCTGAATGGACTATCCTGGAGAAGGATTTCTCATTTCTCCACATTTACTGTACCGAGATGCACAGCTGTGGTGATGATAGGGTTAGCTGTTTTGTTAGGAATAAGACTGAAGCAAGTTAGTGCATTTAATTTTCAACCTTTGGCTTGGAGGTATAAGAGGGAAAAAATGACAACTTATTTCTGATTTGCATTATAATGCTATGGGTCTCCTCAGCATGAATGATATCCAAAAATAATTCACATTAGCAGTAGAGATGTATTTTTAGAGAAGTTTCTCTATTACTCAATGTTTTTGTATTTTTATTGGTCCTTTTATATAAAATAATAAATGGAAAAAATAGCCAATCAAACTAGGATCATTATTTCATTTGTTCCCTTATCCGACATGGAAAAGATTTTGCTGCTTTAACTAAAAGCATGTTCCCTGGTCTCTGCTGCAAACACTCTTAGCCATAAATTGTTTGGTTATCCCACTGTGGTTTACAGAAAGTACCTTGTCCAAGTTTGGTACTGCCATTGTTTATAAGGTTAACATTGCACAGTACAAGAACCCTCCACCCAGGAACTGGTAAGCATTAGAGCAAACAATTTTGCTAAGTTATTTGTTACAGCTTCCAAATGATTTTTAGGACATGAAATCCATAAGATGACATTGAAACAGAGAATGTACTGTTTATCAGGAATTAGAAAACTTTAAAAAAAAAGAAAAAGACACATTCCAAAAGGAATAAGTGCAAGGAAATGAAGTTAGATTAAGCAGGACCAATTATTGGACTAGAACGGGATATCCTTCTGGAGATACAGGTCTTAGGGGCATTCAAGTCACAATATGTGTAAGGACAAGAGGTGTATTAGCAGAGACTTTCCAGCTAGAAGAAAAACAAAACACCTCAAGAGTGGGGTCATGAAGCAATCACAAAATTTCACAGGTATTACTTTGTCTTCCTTTTTTTTGTAGTATCTAATTTCCCATCATTTTTTTTCTATTTTAAAAAGCTGAGTAAATTTTCAACCAAGTAATAGCACCACAATCGAATATGTCTTCCTGTGTTTTCCCTCTCACACTAACAAACTAGGTGAATTTGTGGGGCACCAATTAAACCCCAATTTGCTCTTACGTATGATCTTTGATTTTTTTTTGTCAACGGGCCTTTGGAGTACCAACAGTTATGGATGAAAATGCCATGGTAAATATGGTATTAAGAATGAGAGAGGAGGAAAAAAGCATTAGAACAAAAAATGGGGAATAAGTTAGAACGCAAAGGAAAATGGTGAATATGGTATTTTTCTTAAATACCGAGCTAATGTTTTCTTGATTGCGTTTAACGCGCTGCATCTCTGGGGTGTACACCACTGCAGTCCCTTTACCCAGGTTCTCTTTGTATAAGACCTGCAGAAGTAAAGCACCCAAAATGAAAAGATTTGAAGATTGTCTTCAATGCTCAACAGAAATAAAACTCAACAAGGTTAAAAATGAATGTTGAGAAGTTAAAAACATAAGACGTTTAAAAAAAATTAGTTTCCATTAAAAGTAAAAATGAAACGGCTTTAGTGAAAATGTAGTGGATGAGAAAATAGGCCAGAGCTATGCCAAAATTTGGTTTCAGAGAATGGATTTACCCATTTCCTGATTACAGCAGGCAGTCAGAAAAATATTCTTATGAGCATCAAAATGCGAGTACTTTCAGCACATTACCTGTGTTTTAATTAGTCTGAATCAGAAATATCTTAGATCATGTTTAATCTGGAGGTAAAAACAACACTTATGTTGCCCACAAGTAAAGATAGTAGATAGAACAACCATTCACAGATATTTATAATGATTGAGAATTTATGCTTTCCTAAATGTAAGTAGATTAAAAACAGAGTTAATTTGTATTTTGATGTTAGCAAATTTGATTGCTGATTTCCTGACATTCCTTGCATCTGGATACATTCTCATGCATTCCCAAGAACATTTGAAATTCAAACTAATGTGTGAACTGGCATCATTTCAGATTTCACAGAAGTAAGATCATTGCAGCTACAGAACATGTTTGTGCTGATGAAGCAGCACCAAAGGCCTAATGCTGTGCAATAAAATATTGATGAAACAAATTGGAACTGAAGATATGGCTTGGGCGTGTCCAACATTGAGCAACTGAATCCAACAGAGAATTGAATTCAGTAAAATTCTGAATCCAGAGAAATGCTGATTTCAAAACAGCCTGAATCCAGCAAACAGCTACTTCTAAAGGACACCAAGTCCAGTGAAGCACTGATTCTGAAGGGGTAACAATGTTTTATGCAACCTTTGATCTTTGTATAACATTGCAGATTGCTTTTCTTAAAGTAATTTGAAACAAAAATTCTGAAAACTGCCTTCTTTTTCTCTTTATAGAATCCCTTAAAGTTGGCACAGCCCTGGTTTAAGCTCCACAAAAAATACTCATTTCAAAAAAAATTAGAAAAATGTAAATATAAACACACAGGATATGAAGCAAATGAAAACAATTGAAATGGTATGACTTGTGTTTAGTGCTGTGGGAAGGTGAAATCACAGGTTAGCACAGGGAATCAAAACAAACAGCTACCGAGCTGATGTTCTTCTGTGTCTCTTTTACACGCTTCACCTCAGGCAGGTCAGAGATTGCAGTTCCTTTCCCAATACATTCCTTGTACTTGATCTACCGAGTGTGTAGATCAGAAAAGAAAAGGACAACTGTCAGCACATGACAAACAGTAACACAGACTGACACAAACTGCAACAAGTCACAGCTCAAATAGTAACAATCTCAAAGTAATCACAAACTATCAAAGAAAAATTCAGTTCTGAAGTTCAATGTGATGTCCATTTGAAATGAAGCAAATTGACAATAAAAAGTTGGTTAGTTGTAAAATTAGTTAGTTAAAATCAAACTTGTGAACATGTTTTGCAATAAGGTCACTTTAAAGGAAGACAACTAATCATGGCAAAATTCCGTTTTCATCCCTGAAAGAAATCTCACAATCGTGTCCAACAATGCCCTCCAGCATAATTGGCATAATTTCACCGACCCCTTGACTCCTACATAACCGTACATAATGAAGCTGGAAAGCAATAAATTTGCTGCTGACCTGGTGATGATTTTAGTGATAGGGTCCAAGAGTGACTTTGGAGAGGCCATGAAATCTATGCTTACTCAATGTACTGAGTGCCATAGATACACACAGAGACCATCTTCAGGCTCAGAGGTCTTGTGTGGCACAGTGGTATTGTTCCTGCTCCTAGACCAGGAGGTCTGGGTTCAAGCCCCATCTGCTCCAGAGGTGTGCAATAACATCTCTGAACAGGTTCATTAGAAAATATATCCTCCAGGCTCAGGAGCAGGAATTCTGGTGTCCTCTCCTTTGGCTCCAGTCCTTACTTACCCTATAAAAGGACAAAAATTATGGACAACCAGTTCAACTGAATGTAGCCATTTTGTTTTCAGTTGGTTTTGCCAAAGATACAGAAGGAGATTGTCAAAACTGATGTGGAGAATTCTCCTTGGCCATTTCTCAAACATATCGCAATAAATGCCAAAATAATTTGCAGGAAATTGAAGCAGATTCTTACAAATCAAGTTGATGGTTAATTGCTACCAATCAAAATAGTTTTGAAGGAATGTGAAACCAAACTTCAAATTAAAACAATTAAAAGCAGAACTTTAATTCTAAGGAGCTCTGTATCTGAAGTTCAGATTTAAATTACAAACATGCTCTGACTGATTTTGTATTTAAAGGCCTTTGAGGTTAATTGACATGTATTCCAGATGTAATGTGCATTAAAGCTGCACTGCTGTTGACTTAATTATAATTATGGCATGTTATAAAGACATTCAGGACTGCCAACATACCCCTATCAATCCCAACATTCTTAGTTACCTCTCAGTGAAATTGTCTTCAGAGAGACACACAACCTTCAGTTAGTTCCACAAACATCTCAAAGTTAAAACAAATGTCAAATACCCTGAGGAAAACAGAGTTGATATTAATTTCAAAAGTTTTTGTTTCAGCAATCGGGGGAAATCTGTTAAAATGACAGCGAGGAAGAAATTGCAGAAAAGGAGGAAATTGTACAAGTGGTGTTTTTTAGTGTTTTGAATGGTTGGGTAGTCAAGTGGGGGGTGGGGGGGGGGGGGG